AGTTGACTTTTTGTGTAAGGTGAAGTATGGTTTCAGTTTCCTACTTTCTGCTGTGAGAATCCAGTTTTCCCAGCTGTCTTTCTTAGGCTTTCTATTGCTGTGACTAAAGCCATGATCAAAAAGCAAGTTGGGCAAGAAAGGGTTTATTTGCCTTACACTTCCATATTGCTGTTCATCATTGAGGGAAGCCAGGACAGGAACTCAAGCAGGGCAGGATCCTGGAGGCAGGAGCTGATGCAGAGGCCAGGGAAGGTGCTGCTTACTGGCTTGCTTCCCCTGGCTTGCTCAGCTTGCTTTCTTATAGAACCCAGGACCACCAGTCCAGGGCTGGTACCACCCACCATTAGCTAGGCCCTCCCCCATCAATCACTAATTGAGAAAATGCCTTACAGCGGATCTCATTGAGGCATTTCCTAAACTCAGGCTCCTTCCTCTCTGATGACTCTAGCTTGTGTCAAGTTGACATACAAATCCAGCCAGTACAACTGACTCCTTGTCAACTTGACACACAAGCACGTTACTATTAAGCCACAACCCCTTATTCATTAGTGGGGACTGAATGGTGTCCATTGCTGCTTAACAAAGTTCCAGCATTTTGACATTTTGGCCACACTTCTACAGAACGTTTTAATTTTCATTTTTAATGATTCTCACTATTAATGCCCTTCCCTTTGGGAATTTTCTGTGAACTTTGGTAAAGTATGAAAATGTGTACAATGGTAGCTTCTCTAAACAAAATAACTCTTTGGAAAAAAATCCCCACCACTGTGGAACCAGGAATCCCATTGTGCCCTCCTAATTACACCAGGAACAGGAAAGTTAGAGATTTACTAGACACACCTGATCCCAAGGATGAAACGCCTGCAATTCAGATCCTGAGCCTGAGGCCAGTAAGGGCAAGAGTTCAGTTATTAAGTGTAGAGAGATCAGAATGGTGCAGTATAATGGGGAAAGAGTAAGACATCAGGACCTTCCCTTTTGGGAGCCCGTGAGGGGAACAGGCCCATCTAGTAAGACACGAAGGGATACAATTAGGGAACAGCTCAGGGCTTATCCCCTTGAGGAATGAAAATTGCTCTTAAATTGTAGTATAGCGTCTGCTCCCCAGAAGAAGTCCTTTCCCCAAGGCCAGGCATTTGATATAGGGGCCTCGGTTCCCTTGGGGGCTTGAGGAAAGTTCCTGATTGCTAAAGCAGTCCTTCTTATCTTTGGCAAGAGGAACTTGTGGCCCTTCCATTAACATAGGACTGGTGCCTATTGTCAAGGTCCATGCTATATTCCTCAACCCCTGACCTCAAGCCGCACCCCAGCTCACATGCCCCTGTCTGTTTAATCCTCTGTGCAATGAAAGGTGTATGTAGTCTTTTTCAATAACTCACTGGCAGCCGTCCTGATTCACCCTTAGACTGCCGCCCCCCCACTCTACACATCCTCTTTGAGACCTGAAGCCCTGCCAAAGCAAGTCTCTGGCAATTCATCTCCAAGACCTCACATCAAAATCATAAACAATCTTAAAAGTCCCACAGTCTTTACAAATTCAAACATTAAAATTTCAGTCTTTAAAATAGTCAATCTCTTTTAAAAATTCAAGTCATTTATCTGTGGGCTCCTTTAAAAATAAAAATTAAATTAAATACCTTCTTCAAGAGGAAACAACCAGGGTACCATCACAATTTGAACCAAGCAAAATCAAATTCCAACAGTATAAATAACTCAGTGTTCAATGATCTGAGATTCACTTCACAATCAAAATTCCAACTATCCAATGTCTGGTATCCACTCATGATCTTCTGGACTCCTGCAAAGGGCTTGGGTCACTCCTCCAGCTCTGCCCTCCGGCACACACAGCTTGTCTTCTAGACTCCGGTTGGTTGGCTCCACTCCACTGCTGCTTCTGTTCTTGGTGGTCTTACTGGCTATTAGCACCTGCTCAGGATCCTGACGTCATCTTACATAAAGTCCCCTTTAAGAGAAAACCCCTCCCCCCTTTTCTCTATTCCCACGAAGTGTGCACCCTCCCCTCCTCCCAAAATAAACTCTCAGCGTGGACATGTGTCTACGTGGTGTGGGTGACTTTCCACCTGCTCCATGCCACAGCCTGCTGCTGCGTCTGCATGGTGTGTTTTCCTCACCCCCTGGGGCACCTTGGCCCAACCTGCCAAGGCCTCCTGTGAGCCTTATAACATTGGTGCTGTGTGACTCGGCAGGTTCCCCCTGGCATTTTCTCCTACCTGCCTGCAGTCTGAGAAGTGCTGGGACCCTGTGCCTTCCAGCTGGAGGATCACTGGGACTCTTCATCCGATCGGTAGGCCCCTCCCTTCTGAACATTTTCCACGAGTGAGGATTCAGGATCTGTGTCTCCACAGTGGTTTCTCAGCTTTTCGTAAGCCCCAGTCTTGGGCGACCACATGTTCTTTGGCCTCACACCCTTATTCTCTGTTTGCCTACGGACCACTGAGTGGCTTGTGCCATTTATTCATTCTCACTTAGTCTCTGGGACGCCAGAGACTTTAGCTATTGGATCTACCCCGCTCAAGGAAAATGCTGCTTATCCATTGGTCGTCAGCTGCCTCCCACCATGGCTACAGCTTAGCATGTCTTGCAGCAGGATGCTCTTGCAGCAGGATGCTCCTGCACCTTGGAAACTCTACGCCTCCTGCTATTCGTTAAGCAGAGCAATGTTATTCATTAAGCAGCGCTGTTTACCGTGGGAGAAAAGCCACAGGTACAACAGAGAGAGGTACAACAGAGCCCGCCATCAAAGTTTATTAAGGGAAGGGAACAGAAAGGGTGCTTAGGCCCATGGAAGGATCGTGCAGGAAGAGAGGGGAGGGATGAGTGGGACCTGCTTTTTGTAGTCCCCTCCCCCCCTCCCCCCCCACTTCCCATCCCCCTGCACATGCGCATATTATGTGATCACGCAGCACACAGATTACATAGTATGTAAGGCTCTGGGATGACTAAGCATCTTGCCAGCACATGCTCGGTCATGGGGGAGTGGCTAGGAATTCTAACACCTCCCCCTTTTCTATTTTGCTTCTCTGTCCTGTTCGCTTGTCTCCCAGCTCTAGCCTGCTAGATGCTTCCGTACCACCTGCTCCCTGTTTCTGTGCTTGCTGCCGTCTCAGGCTTTTGCTCAAAATGTCCCGTTCTCCTGTTCTGTCCCTCTCTGCCCCTCCCTCCTGCAGCTGCCACACCGTCTCGCTCTGCTTAGCTCTGTTAAAAGTTTTATTTCGTATGTACAAACGGAATGTGTGACTGACATGGCCATGTGACTGTGTTTCTGACTGATTTTGAATGCTTGAGATTCTGTATTCCATATCTATTCCATTTATCTTACAAAAAAAAAAAAAAGGCATGTGGTCCATTGCCACATTTGGTAAAAGCAATCAAATGGTCAGGGGCCATCTTTACTGAGGGCAGCAAAAAAGTCACTTCCTGTCTGTGGCTCAAGCATTGGGCCGACTGTGTGTGTGGGAGGTCAAGAAAGCTCCGTCTTGCCACACATTGTTTTATGGGGACAAGGACTGGAGCCTCTGGTCTCAGCCTGGCCTCGACCTGGCGCTCCTTCGAGGCTTAAGCACTGTGTGGGCAGGGCCCAGGGACTTATCCTCTCTCTCCCTCCCTCCCTGGTTCTCGGGCATGGCGATATGGCCAACTTGTCTCTCATTTTATAAATTAAAAAAAAAAAAGCTTACTTTTCTTAAAGCTACTAGATCTCTTGACAAAAATAAATGATTTAAATGCTTCAAATTACTTTCCCCTTCTATGATATTGTTATATTAAGATTTTTAACTCTTTCTCTTCCTTCATTCTCATCCCTAGGGACCAGTCTCTGCCCCCTTCTCTACCCCTTCTCTCCCTTCCCTTCAATAAACCTCCCACATGGAAAAAGAAAAAAAAGATTTTAAAATTTCAGATTTTAACATTAATAGAGTTTTGATGCAGTTTGGGTCAGAAACTCAGGATTTTGGATTTTCTTTGGTTGTCTTCCAAATATAAACTTATAGGTATGAGTTTACTGCTGTTTTACAGATACCCATTACTTGCTTTTTAGGTTCTTTTATAAAATAAAAATTGATATAAGCTTCAAAGAATCAAAAGAAATCATAAAACTTAGATCCACTTCACAGAGGTCAAAAGAACTCCAGTTAAATGAGTTTTCCTCACCTGTCTATTCCTGAGGATGGTATTTTTCTCTCCCCTCCCTAATTACTAAGACTATGGGTCTGAAAGTTTCAAGTAAGTTCATAAATTTTAACTCTTATCTCTAGTCTATATCTGTTTCAGCAGGTTTCCATTTGGCTGACTGACACATCCAGGCATCCGCTACTGACTTCAGCCTCTGAGCCATGAACTTACTGAAAGCTGATATAGACCAAGCCAGCTGATATGAATGATCCTTGTTCATAGCTGGATCAAATCAGATGCTTCTGATTAATACCCTAGGTTCCCTAAATGCCTAAATTCCCTCCTTACCTTTGACTAGCCTTTCAGCCTCGCTGGGCTCTTACCATCTGTGCCCCATTTCAGCTTGAAGCAGTTATGGAAGAGAATATGTCATCCTGAGCTCCCTGCTCCCAAAACAGGCTAAAAGGCTAAGTTAACGGTAAACCTCCTGGTATAGGGAACGAAATTGCTACCTAATGCCCATTGATATATCAGGAAACTGGACCCATAATTGTCAATTGATAGATTTATTAACTAAAATGGTTCTGCAATAAGACACTTGACCTTCTTTATGCAGAACCAAAGAGCTATTATATGACTTTAAGAAATTATTATTTCTGCCGGGCGGTGGTGGCGCACGCCTTTAATCCCAGCACTCGGGAGGCAGAGGCAGGTGGATCTCTGTGAGTTCGAGGCCAGCCTGGTCTACAGAGCAAGATCCAGGAAAGGCGCAAAGCTACACAGAGAAACCCTGTCTCAAAAAACCAAAAAAAAAAAAAAAAAAAAAAAAAGAAATTATTATTTCTATATAAATCATTCAGGATTATAATCTGGCTGTACTCAAAGATCAGAACTACAGGGCCTTAAAAATGATAATAGATGCAGATATCACTGCCAATGACTTAAAAGTGTCTCTCCTTACTCAAGGTCTATTCAGGCTTAGGAATGTAAGCCTCCTTGTCCCTGCTAAATTTATCTGTTCAGATTACCAAAAGCCAACCTCTAGAGAATTTAAATAAATGATGACATATGTTTGATAAATAAGACATTTGATAAACAAAATATATATGCTATAATGGAGTTTCTGGTTCCCCGAGAGGGTCCTTTTCTCAGAGAGTTCCTTTCTCAGAGTTGGGCCACACCCCAACTCACAAGCCCCTTTTCTCCTGGGATCTTTCCCCTGTCCCTCTTCTTTGCCTTCTCAGGAGACAGTAAGTCCTAGTCTTATGAAAAAATGCTGACATATTGGAGACTTAGAGAACACTAGTTGATAGTCATTCATACCTAATGGACAGACCACCCTCAAATGCTCAGAGATCTGCAGAATATGGCATTTAAAAGGTTTGATTAAAAAGCTTTTCATGATAGAGAGACATGCCGGCTCCTGGCAGCACCTTCAATTTCCTCCAAAGAAGATGGATGGGCAAAGAAGAACCTCCACCTGGAACTTGCTCCAGGGTGGCAGCACCAGCCACTGAGATGGGCATAGAAGAACCTCCACTGCTGCCAGGGCCTTCTTCAGACCACGGACATCAGGACTCTGGGAACCCACTGCCTCACTTCTGCCTAGACAAGGTAGGCTGGTCCTTCCCACAAGTTCCTACCCCACAACTGTCAGATCTTCTGAGGCCTGGCAGCTGAAGACTGATGTTGCCCTGAGACCTCTGCCCTCAATGACCGTGGAGGACCCTGGGGTGACTGTCTAGGTAGCCAGCAGGTAAGTCTCTGTCACTCTCAATCACTAACTCAGGTAAAATGTATCCTTCTCAGCTCTCAGATGCCATTTGACCACCAGGCTTTGCTTCAGCTGCCTTCCCAGTTCTCTATGTAAAATTTGCAGTCTCATTCTCTTAGAGATAATACCACTCTCAGTATCTCCTGGTGAATTACATAAAATGAAACAGCTTTAAGGTTTGTTTATATGAAGCTAGGAAAGTGGTCTCACTTCTGCTCACTTACTTGTCTTTCTCAGACCTGATGATGTTGCCAGTTTTAACAGCTCCCCCCACTCCAAGGTTTCTGTGGACTTTACCGGTCCTAGCTTTTAGAGACAGGCTAGCATTGGAGAGGGTAGGGAAGCCTCCCTCCTCCTCCTTCACTCACCCAACCACTTCCATTCGGTAAATTTCCTCTAGTTATAAATTTAAAGACGTGTTTCATTGGGCTGAATCCAGGCCCTAAAAAATGTTCATACCTTTTAACCCTGTAGACCAGGCTGGCCTGGAACTCACAGAGATCTGCCTGCCTCTGCCTCCTGAGTGATGGGATTAAAGTTGTGTGCCACCACCACCTGGATAGATAGATGCTGATCTCTTCTTAATTACCACAAATTTCTTAACTCCAGCTGACCAGTATCAAGTATCCTAGCAAAGCAAAATTTTGCTTTAGTAGTTCTGGTATCTAGTTAATTACAGCTGATTTTTCAGCCCCAGGTAACCAGAACCACAGAATCTTAATTCAAAATAACAAATGGGGGGCTGGGCGGTGGTGGCGCACGCCTTTAATCCCAGCACTCGGGAGGCAGAGCCAGGCGGATCTCTGTGAGTTCGAGGCCAGCCTGGTCTCCAAAGCGAGTTCCAGGAAAGGCGCAAAGCTACACAGAGAAACCCTGTCTCGAAAAACCAAAAAAAAAAAAAAAAAAAAAAAAAAAAAAAAAAAAAAAACACACACAAATGGGCCTGACAGAGGCTTTAAACTTCCCTCTGGAACTTCACAAGCCAGGCCTCCATCTTCTGCACTGCTCTCAACATTCTTATCTTCCAAGCTCCTAAAGAACATTCCACCGGGCTCTTAACATCCAATGGTTCTTCTAGCCACAATCCTCCTCAAAACATGGTCAGGTCAGTCACAGCAATACCCAACTGTGCTGGTACCAATTTGTCTTAGGATTTTTTTTTTAAACAATTAGTGATTTTTTTTCTTTTTTCTTTTTTCTTTTTTTTTTTCAGGGGAGAGCGCGAACGCAGTCCCCCACTACCACAAATTAGGCAGTCGAGTTTCCCGCATTTGGGGAAATCGCAGGGGTCAGCACATCCGGAGTGCAATGGATAAGCCTCGCCCTGGGAAAACCACCTTCGTGATCATGGTATCTCCCCTGCCAGGTAAGTATGATTTTTTTTTTCTATTAAGAAATTTTTTTTCATTCATTTTACACACCAATCAAAGATCCCCCTCTTGAGGCAGAGCTCCAGAAGTCCAGTCAAAGAGAAAAGAGGGATTCTTTTTTTTTTTTTGGTTTTTCGAGACAGGGTTTCTCTGTGTAGTTTTGGTGCCTGTCCTGGATCTCGCTCTGTCGACCAGGCTGGCCTTGAACTCGTAGAGATCCGCCTGGCTCTGCCTCCCGAGTGCTGGGATTAAAGGCGTGTGCCACCACTGCCCGGCGAGAAGAGGGATTCTATGAGCAAGTGCATCAAGATCATGATGGGGAAACCTGCAGAGATGACCAAACCAAACTAGTGGGGGCTCATGAAAGTTGTCTTAGGATTTTTATTGCTGTGACTAAACATGTCCAAAAAGCAAGTTAGGGAGAAAAGGGTTTATTTGGCTTACACTTGCACATTGCTGTTCATTATTGAAGGAAGTCAGGACAGGAATTCAAACAGGACAGGAACCTGGAGGCAGGATCTGATGCAGAGGCCATGGAGGGGTGCTGCTTACTGGCTTGCTCAGCTTGCTTTCTTATAGAACTCAGGACCACCAGTCCAGGGATGGCACCACCCACAATGGGCTGGGCCCTCCCCCATTGATCACTAATTGAGAAATGTCTTACAGCTGGATCTCATGGAGGCATGTAGGGTTTTTTTCTGTTGTTGTTTGTTTTTTTTACTCTTTGGGGGCCTGCCACCCAGCTTTCAAATAAACACACAGAGACTTTTTCCTTACTTAGGAATGCCCAGCCTTAGCTTGGCTTGTTTCTAGCCAGTTTTTCTAACTTGAATTATCCCATTTCCTTTTAACTATGTTTTGCTTCTGGGCTTTTACCTTTCTTTATTCTATATATCTTTCTTTCCTTCTTACTCTGTGGCTGGCTGTGTGACTAGATAGCTGGCCCCTGGTGTCTTCCTCTCCTCTTTTTCTTACTCCTCACTCTTCTCTCTCTCTCTTCTAGATTTCTCCTCCTATTTATTCTCTCTGCATTCCAGCCCTGACTATTTCTCTCGCCTGCCTTGCTATTGGCTATTCAGCTCTTTATTAGACCAATCAGGTGTTCTAGGCAGGCAAAGTAACACAGCTTTACAGAGTTAAGCAAATGCAACATAAAAGACTGCAACACATCTTTGCATCATTAAACAAATATTCACAGCATAAACGAATGTAACACATCTTAAGCTAATATTCCACAACAGAGGCATTTCCTCAACTGAGGCTCCTTCCCCTCTGATGACTCTAGCTTGTGTCAAGTTGACACACAAAACCAGCCAGCATACCACCCTTGTTTGTTAAGAGCTTGTCTCTTTTCCAGTATATTTTTGACACTTTATCAAATATTAGGTGGCTATAGCGTGGGGATCACTTTCTGGATCCTCAGTTCTATTCCATTGGTCTGCATGACTGTTTCTGTGCCAATGCCATATAGCTTTTGTTACTATGGATCTCTCACACAATCTGAGATTGGGGATTGTAATACTCTGAGTACTGCTCTTTCTGCTTAGGATTGCTTTGGAAACTTAAGGTCTTTTATGCTTCCATATGAATTGTATTTTGTGCATGTGTCTTTAACTCTATCAAAGACCCCATAGATAGATGTAATATTACCTAATAACAGAGATATCTTGCTGCCTGGACAGTCACCCAAAGTTCCTCTGCAATATTGGGGCATCCATCTTCAGCCTACAGGCCTAGAATGTCTGGCAGACTTTTCAGTGAAGCAGGAAATTTGAAGGATTGTCCCACCTTGCTTTGACAAAGTTCAGCAGTCACTTTCCTGTGGGTCCTGCATGTCCAGTTTATGTAGCATATTGTCAAGCAGTCAAGGCAAAGGCAGTTTTTGCCCAAATGGCTAACCTTACCACAATGAAAGCAAATGCCTGTGAGTTTCTTTGATGCCCATCATCCTTTTATGAAGTAAATTGGTGCTGCCAGGAGCAGATGTGTCACATTGTCACGAAAAACTTTAGGTTATCAAACATCTTAAATGCTGTATTCTGTAGGTCTTTGAAGTGTTTGAAAATTGTCTATCTGTCTAAAATATACCTTCTTAACCTTAAAAACATACCTAATGTGACTACAAGTTTGATTATTATAGATTAACTGCTAATCTCATTTCTCAGTTGTGCAATGCATTTTTAAATGAGCTGCATAAACACAATACACCAAACAAGAGCAGAAACATAAACACAGTATAACAAAAACAACTTTAAATTTGCACCAATATATCAAAATCCATGCCAGTGCAAAATATCTGAGATTAATAGTTGTCTTTTTGCCGGTAGTGGTAGTGCATGCCTTTAATCCCAGCATTCAGGAGGCAGAGCCAGGCAGATCTCTGTGAGTTTGAGGCCAGCCTGGTCTACAGAGTGAGTTCTAGGACAGGTTCCAAAGCTACCCAGAGAAACCCTGTCTCGAAAAAACCAAAAAAAAAAAAAAAAGTTGTCTTTTTATCCTATATTCTTTTTGTTTTTTTTGTTTTTTTGAGACAGGGTTTCTCTGTGTAGTTTTTCACCTTTCCTGGAACTCACTTTGTAGACCAGGCTGGCCTTGAACTCACAGAGATCGGCCTGCCTCTGCCTCCAATGTGCTGGGATTAAAGACATGCACCACCACCGCCCGGCTTATCCTATATTCTTATATTTTCCTAAATGATAATAAACATCTATAACCCACCAAATAACCAAACACCACCCACACCCCAACTCTTGGGAATATGGGTGTCATGTTCTCCAGTCTGCTTCCTGTTGTCTGTGGGCAAAGCATCTTTTGGGGTCCCTGAGAAAATTTGAGATAATGGCCAAGTCCTGGGAAGGCCAGTGGTAACCTTCATTGATAAATATCACCTGTCAAGTTTCATGAGCTCTCTCCTGATCAAACTTGATCCATATTAACCTGGAATGAATCTGAAGCCTCCTGTTTCCTGTGGAAACAAAAGCAAAACCTCTTCTCCAAAGCATTTTTTTTTTAAGATTTATTTATTATGTATACAGTGTTCTGCCTGCATGTATGCCTGCAAGTCAGAAGAGGGCACCAGATCTCATTACAGATGGTTGTGAGCCACCATGTGGTTGCTGGGAATTGAACTCAGGAACTCTGGAAGAGCAGCCAGTGCTCTTAACCTCTGAGCTATCTCTCCAGCCCCCTCCAAAGCATTTTTTACTTCCATTTGACAAATACACTTTTTGACTTCCATTTTCAAGTTAAGACATTTTTAAAATACCTAGGCCAGTTTATTTCAGCAGTCCTTTCAATTCCATGTCTCTTAGCAGCTGTCCTTTGCTTATCAACAATCACAAAATTAAAAATCAACACAATAACATACAGGATCCAGACTCCCTGCGTATTTCCCATCTTTTGTGGCTTTTTCTTTCATATTATTTTTTACTCTCTCTTTAAAGACATTATTATTTTTCAACTATTTACTTCTTTCTATGACTGTCTATACCCATTTTCTTTTCTTTCTTAAGCCTCCATCATTGTTAAACACACTAGAACTTGTTTAGAGGTTTTTTTCCCATCTGAATCTCTTTTATTTCATATCTCTTGTCTTTTTTTGACCACTTGAGCAAACTTTAAACTGCCAAGCTACAGCTGGGTCCTCCACCTGGCTCTATCAGCTGGCTCTGCCTGCTTCTGGGGTCATGAGAGCCAAGCCTGAAGCTTGAGGCCTGATTGGAGGTGTGTTTGACCAGAAATTGCATTCATACCCCCAGCTATGGAATGCCAGTGCCCTGCACTGTGGCAGGCAGTTTTTTAACTTAGTTTTTTGTTTCTATTTAATGTGAAAAAGGCTGTTTAAGTACTCTGATGTCAGCAGAGTTTCTTAAAGGAGTTGTGTCCTTTTTTTTCCAGGTTTCTCAGGCCCTAGGTGGATATCCAAGAGCCTCACATTGGTATGCCAAAATGTAGTTGTTTGTTTACTCTTTTGCTCTTTGGGGGCCTGTCACCCAGCTCCCAAATAATCACACATGGAGACTTTTCTTAGTTATAAAGGCCCAGCCTTAGCTTGGCTTGTTTCCAGTCAGCTTTTCTTAACTTAAATGATCCCATCTCTCTTTGGCCTCTGGGTTTTTATCTTTCTCTATTCTCTATACCTTTCTCTCTTTCTTACTCTGTTGCTGGTTGTGTAACTGGGTGACTGGCCCCCAATGTCCTCCTCTCCTTCTTCTTTTCTCACTCCTTGATCTCTCTTTCCAAGATTTCTCCTCCTGCCTGCCAGCTCTGGCGTATCCTTTCCCCTGCCTTGCTATTGGCCATGCAGCTCTTTACTAGACCAATCAGGTATTTTAGGCAGGTAAAATAATATGGTTTCACAGAGTTAACAAATGCAGCATAAAAGAATGAAACACATCTTTGCATCATTAAACAAATATTCCACAGCATAAACCAATATAACACACCTTGAAATAATATTCCACAACATGACCTTGAATTTCTGATCCTCCTGCCACCACCTCCTGATTATGGAGATTACTGGCATGACCATCATGTTCTGTTTATGCAGACCTGGGGATCAAACTGTGTTTTGTGCCTGTTAGGTGAGCGCTGTACCTGCTGAGCCATGTCTCTAGCCCAAGGCACTGAATTTTGTTTGCAATTTTGTGTCCTGTTACTTTGCTAAAACAGTTTGTCAGTCTAAGAGCATTTGGTAGAATATTTAGGGTCTTTTAAATATAGGACCATACCATCTAGAAATAGGGGTAATTTGACTTTTCCTTTTCTATTTGTATCCTTTTTAGATTTTGTTTTCTGCTTTTATCTTTTTCTTTTTTTTGTGAAGACTTTAGGTTGCATTGAACAAGGGCATAAAGAACAGACACAGTTGTTCCTGGTTTTAGAGGCATGATATTTTCTCCCATTCAGGTTGATGTTGAGCATAGGTTTGTCATGTATAGCGCTTATTACAGTCAGGAATATTTCTTCCCTTCCTACTTTCTTCAGGGCATCTTGGATGATGTAGAGAAGCTCAACTGTCCCAGCCAGTGGGATCTTCAGCAGAGACCCTAGAAGGGGGAATGGCGAATGAAAGGGACAAGAGACACAAAGAATTGACAGCAAGACAGTATTCTGATCAAGCTGCAAAACTTTATTTTTCTCAGGTGGGTTTTATAGTATGCAGACCAGGAAACTTTCTTTGGGAAAAGATCAGGGGACTGTTGAGTTGCCAAGCAGCCCAACCACAAAACATTGTTACTAATGGTCAGAAAGATAAGGAAATGTTAAGTTATTTTCTAATAACTTAGGACTTGTCCAGGCATGTCAAAATTTTCTGGTTAGTGGCTCAATACTGGACAACAGAAACTTAACTTAGGCTGGCAATATGGCATGGCTCTTACAATTGTCCTTGTCACTCAACTTTGCCAAGGGCCTTTTCATCATTTCTTATAATGCTCAAGTGAGTTCTCTCCTTAAGACTATGTGCTGTATTACATTTATTGATTTTTTTTTTTTGAGACAGGGTCTCACTGTGTAACTCTGACTAGTCTGGGACTTACAACATAGACCAGACAGGCCCCAACTCATAGAGATCCACCTGCTTCTGCTTCTTGAGCTCTGGGGTTAAAGGTGCTCTGTGAGGAAGGTGATGCAGTGATTAGGAGACAAAGCCATACTGTCGACCTCCTAAAGGTTCATATCCAGTAGGACGGGGATGTTGATCCAGTGTAAGCCCAGTAGATATAAAACTACAGCTAAGGGCTGGGAAGATTGCTCCGGGGGTGACATGCATGCTGCGCAAATCTGAAGTTCTTGAGTTTGGATTCCCACACCAGTGCAAAATCAGGGTTCAGTGGCATGTGTCTGTAACCTCAGTCCCGAGGGCAGGTGAGGGCAACAGCAGATTCCACAGGCGCACCGGCTAGCAAGTCCAGCTGAAACAGTGAGCTCCAGGTTCAGTGAGAGAGATGACTCAAAAATAAGATGGAGAACAATAGAGGCAGACTCTGGTCATGGATCTTTGGTCTCTATATGGACACAAATGAGGCATGCATGCATACAAACACATGCATTCACTGCACCCCAAACAAACAACATACAGCCGTAGTGTGCATAGACCTTGTACTCTGAGCTAGTCTGAGAGTCAGGGAATGGAACTCCAAAAAAGTGGCCATTTACCTGAGAAAGGTACTATTCTGTTATGTCTGGTGGCACAGGCCAGTCTGGGCAACAGTGAGAGCTTGCTTAACAGTAAAGACAGATGCAGTTCAATGATTGAGTGCCTCCCATGAAGCTCCAAGTTCAGCCTCAGCACCACAATAAAGAGGGAGAGAGGAAGGGAAGGAGGTAGGGAGGGATGGATGGATGGAGGGAGGGAGGGAGGGAGAGAGTCCCTAGTTCTGCTGCTGTCAGAGAGGGCCAATACTCTGGGACCAAGTGATGGAGAAGGAAGCTTGTCTCAAGGCTCGCAGGGTGGAGGGCAAGCAGCTCACACCAGTGCCTCTCTTGCATCACCAAGAGTATAGTGCATCTTAAGAACTGTTATCACTATTTTTAATTTTTTTATTATTTTAAATTATGCATATGGGTGTGAGTCTATGTGTGGGTTTTTGCACAAGAGTGTAAGTGTCCATGGAGGCCAGAGGTGTTGGATACCTTGGAGCTGGAGTTATAGGCAGTCATGAGCCTTCTGATGCGGGTGCTGGGAATCAAACTTGGGTCCTCTGCAAGAACAATGCATGCTCTCAATTGCTGAGCTGTCTCTCCAGTGGGCCATAGCATCTTTTGTTATCTCAACCTCAGGCAAGCACCAGGGTAGTTCATTAGTCTTGAAAAATAACCAGTTCTGGTATATGTGCTGTGAGCCTTTGATATCTGTCTAGAGGTGACTGAGTCATCTTGAACCTGTGAGTCTTTGTGATTGTTCTAGGCTTGGTGTTTGAAGGTGTGTGGTCTGGTTTGCATCATGGCAGCTACCCTTTTCATTGTGACCTTTTTAAAATTTTTTTTAATAGCCTGGGAAGGAGCAGCACTCAGGGAAGGGTCAGTGCATTTCAACTAATTCTACAGCTAGTTGTCAAGATATGGAGCAAGATGCCTATGGAAACAAGGTTCTGCATGTAAACTGAAAAGAAGAATGTCAAGAGAAAATACCAGGATGTGGCTTATGCAGCTTAAGGGACAGTGTGTGTGTCGGGGTGCAAACCCCGTGCACATGTTGGGGAGGAGTGGGTTCTCTCCGTGCATTGAGAGGGAATCAGTATTCTGTAATACAGAAAGGAGCAGTGTGCTGTGATATAAGGCCAGTGATAGATGGGTGTGGCCCACAGTGGCCATGTAAGGATGTTTGGGAATGGAAGAGGTGGCTGGTGAGTCCCTGAAGTGTCTGAAGATAGGACAGTGTGGAGGTGGCACACGGGCTCCCAACAAGCTGGAGGTTATCTTGAAGTAGCTAGTAAGAACGATCCATTCCAGGGACAGCTGCTCATTCTAACTGATTGATTTCCCCCTTTTCCCAGGGATTATTTGAAGTGGTCAGCTAAAGGAATCCAGGCCATCAACACCTTTGATGAAAAGAACTACTAAGGTCCCACCATGGGGCCAGCTACACCACTGATAGCATTCTGAAAGACTGAAGTTTGCTTCTAGACACGGACACCCCCGTGGGGCGGGGGTTGGGGGTGGGGGTGGGGAATGGTTGGGAAGCTGCCTGGAGGCCTCCTGCATGGACATCCGAACACAACATTCCAACAAGCTGAAACCCTGTGTTTAGGCCTGTTTCCACAGAAGGCTCAACATTATTGCCCTTGAAAATCTGCCTTTGCAAAAAGGCAGGGCGGCCCCGCCCCAAACCCAGGGCAAGTGCACTGCAGACTGAGGATGGGTTCTGCGGTTAGGGGGCTTGCACGATCACTCCAAGGTGACATTTTAAATCTAGCCACTTCAGTAATTCACTTATTTCTAATATTTGTTGTTAGCTCTGTTAACTGAGACCTGCAGATGTCAAACTTGTGATTATACTAATAAATCTTGAAAGACGAACAGAGGGCAAACTGTAGCAAGCCTCTGGTCCCAAGGCACCCCAAGGCGTCAGGGACTAGGGGAGATGATGCTCTGTGCATTCTGAAAGCCTCACCCTCATCTGCAACAGTCACAGGGCCAGGAAGCCTCCAGCACCTGAGGAATTATCCGTGGCATCTTGGAGTAAGCAGTTCCGACCACTAGGGGGCAGAGCGGTGGCTTGCTCGGAAGCTCAAGCACACACGGGCTCTTAGAAAAATGGACCTGGAGGACGGTTTTGAGGATCTGGGCCTGTGCTTCATTTCTCAAATGCGGATGCACAGACTGGGGGCAAGGAGGGGACCCTCAAAACACAGCCTGGGCCGCGGTCTCAGCCCCATCTCAGGAGAACTGCTGTTTCTTTTTTGCTGCGGATTGGGAACTAAATGAGTTTATACGTAGGGTCATATGTGACCTTGACAAAAACCTACAAGTGTTAGCAGATGATATGGGTCTGGGGTCATTCAGAGATTCACCAGTCTGACCATTAACAAATTGCAACAAAGAAGAGGCTTTTATTTCAGATACTGGCGTCAGGTCTACACCCGAGACTCCGGATTCCCTGAATGCAGCGCCCATCTCAATCAGGAGTTTATGAAGGCAAAGACAACAGAGATACAGTTTGTTCTGGAGCAAGCAGAAGGTCCTCTGGGGCAACCCAAGCTTGTTTACAGAAGCAGAAACAGGTGTTAAAAAAACATTAACCCTTAACAGCCCTTGACATTTGGAGGTCTACTTTTGCTTTATAGTTCTCTTAAGCACAGAAAATTTAAACCTTTAAAGTTAGCCATCGCCGGGCGGTGGTGGCGCAGCCGGGCGGTGGTGGCCCACGCCTTTAATCCCAGCACTCGGGAGGCAGAGGCAGGCGGATCTCTGTGAGTTCGAGGCCAGCCTGGTCTACAGCGCGAGATCCAGGAAAAGCGCAAAGCTACACAGAGAAACCCTGTCTCGAAAAACCAAAAAAAAAAAAAAAAAAAGTTAGCTATCAACAAGACTTTAGCCATCACATTCCCCACTTGAGCCATACCCCGAGTCAAACCCTTGACTCTCTGGTGGGTACCTGTTCCTATTGGGACTTAAATTTATACTTCTGGTTAAGGCATTAATGATGCAGGAACCAGAACCAGCAGGAACAGGAGAGCTAAGGGTCCTGCAATGGCCGACAGCAGAGTTACTAGCCAGGAAGAACCTGAGAGAGAAAATGGGAGCCGTTCATTTCCTCCTTGAAGGGTCTTTTCTCTCTCTGTGAGGTGGTTTTGAAGTTCAGCCAAATTATCCTTGATAATCCTGAGGGGTTGCCTAGAAGCAGCAAACTTCTGTGAGGCATCCAGTAACCTCCTTGTGTATAAGGCAGATCAAGTGCCCTCCCATGTTATAAGACTCCCTCGGCCAATGAGTCCACTTGGTTTTTTGATTTTGCAATGGATTCTTCTAAAGCATATAAATCCTGCGTATTTGATGTTCTGAGTTTTGGTAGCTGACATCAGCCACTGCTGTGCCTGTGACCTGGAGAGTGGCCCCAGCTGTTCCCAATCCTAAGCTTACTGTGAGGAGAATAAGGAGAGGAACTGCACGTTTTTCCCTGAACACGGAGGCTGGGAGGTCCTGTGTCTGTGCATACACTGTTTCCTCCCCACCAGATCATCATAAACGTATATCCAGGGGAACAGGGATACCAAGACACAGGATTTCGGGGATTAGTGCACCTGCCAAATGGACAAGCCAGGGTGCAAACTGTCCACACTTGCAAACCAAGCGGTTTCAACCAGGAGGTGAAGGAAGGAATGTCCAGCTAAGGAAGCGGGGGCCAGGAGCTGGGAGACATTTATGGCAAGTTTGCCTTTGCTCTTAAAGTGGGATCTAGACAGATATCCCATGAAAGAGGAGGGAACACAGTCAGACAAAGCAACATTAGACTCTATTAGTCTGCAATCTGCGTCAGCCTTATTTTAGTGGATCTTCTCCAGCCTCGGTGATGGTCCATTTTTCTGCAGCCAGGTTGTCATCCCCTGTGACAAGCTTGACCTGGGAGTGATGTACTCAGATGTGGACTCTGTCTACCTTGACAGCAGAGGGGATGGTCAGGATGACAAGGTGTGGTCCCTTCCAGCAGGGTCCCAGTTCCTTTTTTTTGTTTTTTGTTTTTTTTTTGGTTTTTTGAGACAGGGTTTCTCTGTGTAGTTTTGAGCCTTTCCTGGAACTCCCTCTGTAGCCCAGGCTGGCCTCGAACTCACAGAGATCCGCCTGCCTCTGCCTCCCGAGTGCTGGGATTAAAGGCATGTGCCACCACCACCTGGCAGGTCCCAGTTCCTTTGGATTTAACATTCCAGCCTTTTGTTATGGATAAGGGGTGATGACTGTTGTGGAATATTATTTTAACTAGGCAAAGATGTGTCACATTTGTCTATGCTGCAGAATATTACTTTAACTATGTGAAGGTGTGTTACATTTTTTTTGTGCTGCATTTGTTTAATTATGTTTCACCTTGCCTACCTGTAGTGGGTATCTATTCCAGCTTTGACCTGGAAGTACTACCCCCCATTGAGGCTTCCAGTAACTGTCACGCCTACCTATGACCTGCCCCTGAGGCGGGGCCAAGATGGGAGTCCTTAAGACCTGAGATCTGGATGTGCTGGCTTTCTTGGCTCCTGGTGATCCTGGATGCTGGATGTAGACCGAGCAGAGTTCTCCAGAGAACACTGCTGGACTGCACTCCACCTCTCCCGGACCCTGTAACCCTTTACTTGTTGTAAGTTACTCCAAAATAAACCTCCCTTTTAACTACATGGAGTTGCCTTAATAAATCCTCCAATACCTCCTTAGGCACCTGATTGGTCTAAGAAAAAGCAGAATGGCCAATAGATAGGCAGGAGAGGGATTGGTGGGGCTGGTGGGCAGAGAGAATAAACAGGAGGAGGAACCAAGTAAGAGGAGGAGAGAAGAGGGAGAAAGAAAGGGAATTGGAAAATTACTAGGAGAATCTTTGCATCTATCAAACCACTGGCACTTGCAGACTCAATGAATTCTGAGAACATCTAAGGACAAACATTTTCATTTAACCCATGACATTATTCTGAGATAAAGATGATATCCAGAAGACTCATTATTTAGCCATATTTTTCAAAAGAGTAAAGAATTGCTGAACACAATAAACAAAGCCTCATTTATATTTCCTTGGTTGAGGAATAAAAATTTTACATTTTTAATCATCATAGCCTTTTCAGTGTTGTTTCCCAATTTTTTTGGTTGCTCAGACATTAAATCAATGAACATTACAGAGGTACAAGAGAGAATTTTCTATATTCCTCATCTGTAAAGCTTTCTATTTGTATTTTTGCTTGTGCATAAAAGCATATAAGTGCAGTTTTAATAGCTTAGTTATCAAACATATGCTGTTTTAAAATCCTACTTTTTAAAAAATAAACACTTTTTATGTTTTTCCCCCCTCATCTGTGACTCTTCTTCTAGGATAAAAATCACCACACAAAAATCCATCCCAATCCAAAAATACCTTGGAGACCTGCTGTTATTCAAAAACATCCATTTCTTTTAGACAAGAGTGGAATCCAAGTTATACATACAATATGCTGCAGTAAATGTATAGATTCTCAACCATCAACCTTCATGCTATAAGTTTTTAGTTAACTTTTTGTTACAGACTTTACAGATCTTTAACTTTACCCAATAAACTTACAGATCTTGAGGCACATAAAGTTTACATACTAGTCTTAAAAATCTTGAGATAAGATCCACAGTTTAGCAAAAGTTTTACAGAGTTAAACCAAAACCAAAAAAAAAAAAAAAAAAGAGTATGAATAGCAATAATCCCCATTGGGAATATGTGGTGATATATTGTGTATCAAATAAAGCTTACCTAAGGATCAGAGGACAGAGCTAGACACTAGATTAAACATAGAGGCCAGGCAGGGGTGGCACTCACCTTTAATGCTAGTGCTCGGGAGGCAGAGATCCATCTGGATCTTTGTGCGTTCAAAGCCACCCTGGACTACATGAGATTGATTCAGTTTAGGAGAGAAACAGAGCCAGGCAGTGGTGGCACACACCTTTAATCCCAGTACTTGGGAGTCACATGCCTTTAATCCCAGCACTTGAGATCTCATGCCTTTGCTAACAGTATTTGAGAGCACACACGCCTTTAATCCCAGCACTAGAAAGGAAGTGATATGGCTGAGTGGAGAAAGGCATATAAGGTGTGAGGAGACGGGAGCTAGATGCCTTTCGGCTGAGGACTCAGAGGCTTTCAGCTAGAGGATGTGTGGAGACAGGATCTCGCCTTCCATTCGGCCTGAGGACTCAGTAGTGGTGAGAAGTGTCTCTAGTGGCTTGTTCCTTCGTCTCTCTGATCTTTCAGCATTTACCCAATATCTGGCTCTGGGTTTTTTAAATAATAGCATTTAGAATTCGTGCAATGGGGATAGCTATCCTTTTGTCTTGTTTTACTCTCTTTTTTCTGTCACATAGTCAGGTGACCCACCTGACATGGGACAAGAGATTTTGGAGGAAACTTTTTTTTTTTTTTTGAGACAGGGTTTCTCTGTGTAGCTTTGTGTCTTTCCTGGAACTCACTCTGTAGACCAGGCTGGCCTTGGACTCA